CCCAGCTACTTGGGAGGCTGAGGCAGGAGGATCGCTTGAGCCCAGGAGTTTCAGGTTGCTGTGAGCTAGGCTGACGCCATGGCACTCTAGCCCCGGCAACAGAGCAAGATTCTGTCGCAAAAAAAAAAAAAAAACTTAAGGTTCATTAACCTACAGGTCATATTATGCAAGGGATGTACTGTGGCCCTTAGCAACAGGTCCCACTGTTTCATTGTCTGAGGCTTCCAGGGAAATATAGGGAAACAGTCAAGAGGGTTCAGGATGGTCTGGTATGACTCTGAACTAGCTTCATGTGGAACGTCCAGTCCCTACCCCTACCCTAGAATGACACCATAATGCAGCCCTCTCTGACATATGCTTGTAACTCCGCGTGCCACATAATCAGTATCCTAAAGTCTGCCAGCAGTGACCCATTGTAAAAATATTGTCTTCAATGTAAAAATGTGCCTATTTGCAGTTGCTGCTTCTACTACCACCTGAACCTGAGCTGAGAGGAAACCACGGTTCTCACTACCCAGTGCACCTGTTTTCAATAATCTGTTAAAACATGGCGGATTACTATGAAGTTTTAGGAGTACAGAGATATGCGTCACCTGAGGACATTAAAAAAGCTTATCATAAAGCAGCACTCAAATGGCACCCTGATAAACATCTAGAAAATAAAGAAGAAGCAGAGAGAAAATTCAAAGAAGTAGCTGAGGCATATGAGGTATTATCAAATGATGAAAAACGGGACATTTATGATAAATATGGCAAAGAAGGATTAAATGGTGTAGGTGGAAGTCATTTTGATGAATTCAAGTATGGCTTCACATTTCATAAGCCAGATTATGTCTTTAATGAAAGTTTTGGTCAAACGGAACCATTTTCATTTCACTTCTTTGAAGACTCACTTGAGGACCTTTTAAATAGTCCAAGAAGCGCCTACGGAAGCAGAAGCAGAGGTGCAGGATCCTTTTTCTATACCTCCAGTGAACATCCAGTTTTTGGGCGATTTTCTTCATACGATACAGGATACACATCACATGGTTCACCGAGGCATGAAGGCCTTACTTCATTCTCTTCCCTGGCATTTAATGATAGTGTTATGGGCAATTACATATCTGACAAAATTGTTAATGGCAGAAATATTAATACAGAGAATATTATTGAGAATGATCAATACAGAGAAGTTGAAGATGATGGACAGTTGAAATCCTTCCTTGTAAATGGTATGGCAGATGAAGAGGGCTTTGCAGAAGAATGCAGCTGGAGAAGACAGTCATTCAACAATTACTCACCAAATTCCTACAGCCCCAAACATGTATCTCAATATACTTTTGTGGACAACGATGAGCAAGGTATACCTTGGGTCACCAGCAACTGGGATCCCTCTATTTTCTCAGCAGGATTCAAAGAAGGAGGTAAGAGGAAAAAAAAGAAGTGCAAGGAGGTGCAGAAAAAGAAGTCAACCAAGAGGAATCGCTAAACTGACTCTTCAGACATATTATGTTCATATAACATTTGAACATAATTCTTTTTGTGTTTTGGTTAATCATAGGTTTTGTAGATAACACTTGTTTAATACTATACTAAGATTATGTTTTTAATAACTTTAGCAGGACTGTGGACAATTGGTCAGTAGTTTGATTAAGTATGTCAGAATAAGATGAGTCTGTAGTGACAGTTGGTGATGTTACACATTTGGAAAACTGCATACGTTTTTATTTGCTTTTTGTTTTTTAGCTGTTTCCATATCATAGAATTTTTCTTTAGTAAAGTTTATAATCTATTTTATTCATTTTATCCACTACACAAACTTCTGAAACATGCACAGCATTAGGAGATAGAAATGTATTAAGATACATAGGTTCAGACTATATCATTATTCATGAAATGACTTTTTCCCAGTGGAGGCAGAGCATTTGATACATATCATAAAGATACTACAACCTGGCCAGGTACGGTGGCTCCTGCCTATAATCCCTGCACTTTGGGAGGATTGCTTGAGGCCAGGAGATCAAGACCAGTCTGGGCAACATAGCAAGACTCTGTCTCTACAAAAAGTAA